TCCCAGCCAGGTACGGCGCTGGGTGCGGCGCTTGCAGCAGGTCAGGCAGTGTGAGCCGGTTCCCGTTCCCCGCGCTGGGTAAATCTGTGCGCGGAGAGTGCTCCCCACGGGGAACGCGTGCGTTCGGGACGGGTCTGTTACCCCTGAGGTCGCAGTTCTCGCTGAGCACGGGTAGCTCTCATCGCAGCCGGTGGTCTCTGCCGTAGGCGGAGCGATGTCTCACACCCAGCTGGCGCGACGTTTTTCGTGGTAGGGCTCTTGCTTGCGGGCTGCGCCAGGTTTTAACGGCTGAGACGGAAGTTTTCCATACTTTGACTCCACTTCTGAAGCTTAAATTTCATTATTTTTGATGAAAGCTAAATATATTAATGCCAGAAAGGGACGACTGTCACAATCTATCCCGACTGCCATAAATTCCACCCGATTTTTTGCACGCGTTGAACCAGGCAGGAGCGCGTCCCTTTAGAAGAGACCGACCTGATCTATCAGATAGAAACCAGGAAGCTGTGAAAACCAAAGCTGACACGGTAGCCGAGGAAGTCGCTGAGAACACGTGATGTCCCCGGATGAATGTCTCCTCCTCAGCTCAGCCTCCTTGAAAGTTGCTTGAATTAATTTGGAATGAGCACTTTTGTTTTGTGATAGGAGCGCAGATGCGCTTTCTGGTGTAGGCACGCCGTCAGTGGGACAGGATGAAATCCCACGGTGGGAAAACGTCTGTCTTGCCGTTCAAACATCACGGGGGGAGGCTGATTTCTGAGGGTGAGAAATCCCTTGGGATTTCCCTCGTCTGTGTTAGCATTTGGTGTTTTTCAGCGGAGGAAGGGAAGAGAAATGCCCTGGCACCGATAAAACCCACAGGCTAAGGGTAGGCTGGCAAGTCTTGGTGCTTATTCACTGCTGTGCCCGGGTAGGGCTTGTCTCGTAACTCTCCTGCTTTGCTTTTGTTTGCGTTCAGAGGCGTAGATGGGGGAGATAACAGCGAATAGTTACCTGCTGCCAAAGGAAAGCGCGCCGGCTTAGAAGGCTGGCAGCAACCGGTTTGAATCGTGCCTCTCCCGGTTGCTGGTCCTAATGTCGGTGAAATCCAGGCTGCTCCGAAAATCACCGGGGAGAGCCTGGAGAGCAGGACCTGGGTGGCGGTGTCCTCCAGCTACTCTTCCTCCCCAAAATTACATTTTTTTTTTTTTTTTTTGCTTGGCTGCAGCTACTGCTGTAACCGGTAAACAAACTTGTTTTCCACAACCAGGATTAGAGCTGGAAAATCCTGCTTAGGAGGATAACCCAGCAGTGGGCTCCTAAGGCAAAAAAGCGTCCGACAACACCCTTTGGTGACTAACTCCTGGGGAGAGACGGGGCTGTTGCCACGCGGCTGGAAGCCTCGATGCCTGCCCACTCCTGCGAGCACGTTTGACTCCTTTTCTAGGCAAGCTTCGCAGCCCTTTCCTGCAGAAGGAGGTGAACTCTGTGCCGAGTCCTGCCTCTCCTGTCTCTCCTGCCCGGGATGCTCCCCCAGCCTCCTTCGCCCCCTCCTCTGCTTGGGGGACGCCTCCAGCCTCTCCGGTACCCGCAGCAGGTGCGTGGCTTTGTTTCCTCGCCTAACCAAAGCTTTTCACCTCGCCTCTCCAGATAGGTCCCCAAAATGGGGCGTGTTGAGGCCAGGCTCCGTGTTTCTGGTTTCGTTTTCCCATGCCTCGGCAGAGGGCGAGCAGGTCTTTAGGCCAGGAACCTGCAGGCTTTGTCTGCAGCCGGAGGGGACGAGAAGGGCTGAGCGTGATGCTGAGGCTGGGGAAGGAGGAGAGTTATTGCTGCCTGGTGCAGAGGTCCCTTCCTTTCCTTCTCAGACTTAGCAGGAGGTTCAGCGGCTGAGGGGATGAGGACATCTCCTGGCTGGAAGGCTGAAATTCAGCTGCGTGCACCCCCAGAGCCCCTCTCCAGACCTCCCGCTGCAGGGGCTTTGAGGTTCCCGCTCGGACCTTTCCAAAATGCCTTCGAGACCCAGCGAAGGAGGCTTTCTACCCCCACGCAGCGATTTCCCTCTGGGCGGCAGAGCGCGGTGACAGCAGCCGGCTCTAGCAGTTAGGCAGGACGGGGTTTCGCCGTCCCGGTAAAGACCGGAGGACGAGGGCTGGCAGGGCCCACCTGCCCGGGCATCGCCGCCCTCGCCGCCGGGGCGGCAAGGCAGGCAGAGGGAGCCGGGCTACAAAGAGCTTTCTCTGCGTGCGGTGAGATGCTCTGTCCCCTTTCAGGTGGTTTGGGTGGGAAGAGCAAGTCCGGAAGGAGGGCTGGCCGTATCCGGAAAGTCTCCCCGTGTGCTGTGGGGAGAGGTGTGCTCTGGCACAGAGGTGTTGCCTTGTCCTTGAAGGGCTGTGTGGTTTCACGTCCCTGCTGGCTTGTCCCCAGCTCACCGGGCTCCTCACTGGTCCCAAGGCTACCCTGCGGCTTTGCTTCAGGAAGGTGGGAGCTGGGAGACAACCTCCAAGCTGCCTTTTCCCAAATAAGCCAAAATGTACCTGGTTAAAAACCAAACCCTTTGAGTGATTGGGCTCAGCAAAATGTTTCAGCCAGAAACATTTTCTTTGGTGGACCAAAACCAACGGTTCTTTCAGAGCGGCTTGTTACTGCTTTCTGTCCTGCCCACCCCAGCAACTGTGGGCCAGGGACGAGCTCCGGCGGTCCCCAGGCTGCAGTCACCACTAGATGCTGCTCTTGGCCAGGGTCTTTGCGCCGAGCCTCCCCCGTCAGGTTTGGTGCTCACCGCAAGGAGCAGCTGGGAAATGGTTCATCTCGAGCAAGCTTATTCCTTTCCCCGTCGGAGACCCTGGATCTCTCCGTTGTCCTTTTTATCGTTCCCTAAACCCCTGCTCGGCCCGTGGCTGGGTTCGTGCTTGCTGGACCCATCCCCTCTGCAGGACAGGAGACCCGGGTGACATCCAGCTCATAGCCGAAGTTCGGTGGCACTTCAGCCGGGAGCAGGAGTTGGATGAACGAGGGGACAGGGAGAGGTCTTGGTGACGGATATCGTGGTGAGATACCGTGTGTTTCTTCCGCAGGGCAAGACGCTGCGTACAATTCAAGCGCCCTGGCTTCCCACGCGGAAGAGGCAAATCTGTACGAGGAGCCGCCGGAGCCCTCGGCCATCTATGAAGAACCGCCTCAGGTTGGTGCATGAGGGAGGACAGAGGACGCCGGGGGGGAATCATAGAATCATCGAATCATTAAGGTTGGAAGAGACCTCCAAGACCATCGAGTCCAACCGTCAACCCCACACCCCCATGCCCACTAAACCATGTCCCTCAGCGCCGCATCTACCCGTCTTTTAAATACCTCCAGGGATGGGGACTCAACCCCTTCCCTGGGCAGCCTGGTCCAATGTTTCCAATGGAAAAGGGCACCCGAGAGCTGGCCAGGATCCTCATGCGAGAGAGCATGGCTTTGCCTCATCTTTTAGGATGAGTCTGGAATCCTCTTACGAGCGTCTCGTCTCTTTGGGTACAAATGCACCCGCCGGTGCTCAGAGCCCGGCTGCCTGGGCTGAAATCGGTAGGAAACCGAGAAGCCCCGGAGCTCGCACACGCTCACGCCGCATCCTCACGGCGAGGGGATGCTGCTGCGTCCCTTCCCAGCGCTGACGCCGAGAGGTGCTGGTGCCGAGCCCCCGTCGCCCGTCCCGCACCCTGTGCCCTGGGGTGCTCCAGCTGGTGTCACTGTCCCTGTTCCTGGAGCCCCGGGAGGGGGCAAGGGGAGAGCCTCTCATCGGCCTCTTTGCCAAAGCGCTTCCTCCTCCTTCTCCTGCTTCTTTGCATGTCCAAAACCAGCGGAGCTGACAAAGCCCAGCTATTCTTGGCGTGCTCCGTCAGATTCTCCAGCGTCTAATAGCGGGGTTGTGTCATGCTGCAGTATTTCCCTTGGAGACGTGGTGGCCGTTTGGTTTCCTCTCCTCTATTCATCCATCTCGTGTCCCCCCGCCTCACAGAACCATAAGCATTTCCAACGTACGTAATTGTCTCGTTCTTGAATTTGTCTGGAAGTGTCCAGCTCGTTGAAAAGGAGCGGGAGATGGGCTGAGTGATCGCCTCGGCCTTTCTGTACGAAAGAAAAGTAAAAAGCAGCCAGCTCAGGTCGCAAAATAGGAATGGGAGAGAAACGCTTGGGAAACTGGAGCTGGAGCTTGTCCAGCTTCAACAGGCTTAAACGTGGGGGTGATGAACTGCTGTCTGCAGCGGAGATCCCGAGGGATCGGCTTCCAGAAGGGTTGTCTGCTGCTGGTCTCGGTGTTTCTGGTTGTGATGCTGGCTGCCGGGCGGGAGGCACTGCAGGATCGGTGCCGGTTTGTGAGCCAAACCGGAGAGCTGGCCGCCTCCGCTCTTTGGTGCGAGGCCGGTTTGCACGCTCATCTCCTTTAGCTGCTGGCAGAGACGCGTGGAGTCCCCAGAGCCAGCGTTTTTATTCCAGGGGGGGCGTCTGGGACCTGCTGCACGCAGTTCTCCGAGGCTGGGCGGGGGGGGGCTGATCTAAATCTCCGGGTGTGGCACGGTGTTGTACTCCTCCCTCCCCCTGTTTTTTCCTGCAATTCCCGGTGTGCGCCCCAATGGACGGATGGACACCCAGATGGACAGACGGACACCCAGCTGGATGCGTGGATGCCCCAATGGACGGATGGACACCCAGATGGACAGACGGACACCCAGCTGGATGCGTGGATGCCCCAATGGACGGATGGACACCCAGATGGACAGACGGACACCCAGCTGGATGCGTGGATGCCCCAATGGACGGATGGACACCCAGATGGACAGACGGACACCCAGCTGGATGCGTGGATGCCCCAATGGACGGATGGACACCCAGATGGACAGACGGACACCCAGCTGGATGCGTGGATGCCCCAATGGACGGATGGACACCCAGATGGACAGACGGACACCCAGCTGGATGCGTGGATGCCCCAATGGACGGATGGACACCCAGATGGACAGACGGACACCCAGCTGGATGCGTGGATGCCCCAATGGACGGATGGACACCCAGATGGACAGACGGACACCCAGCTGGATGCGTGGATGCCCCAATGGACGGATGGACACCCAGATGGACAGACGGACACCCAGCTGGATGCGTGGATGCCCCAATGGACGGATGGACACCCAGATGGACAGACGGACACCCAGCTGGATGCGTGGATGCCCCAATGGACGGATGGACACCCAGATGGACAGACGGACACCCAGCTGGATGCGTGGATGCCCCAATGGACGGATGGACACCCAGATGGACAGACGGACACCCAGCTGGATGCGTGGATGCCCCAATGGACGGATGGACACCCAGATGGACAGACGGACACCCAGCTGGATGCGTGGATGCCCCAATGGACGGATGGACACCCAGATGGACAGACGGACACCCAGCTGGATGCGTGGATGCCCCAATGGACGGATGGACACCCAGATGGACAGACGGACACCCAGCTGGATGCGTGGATGCCCCAATGGACGGATGGACACCCAGATGGACAGACGGACACCCAGCTGGATGCGTGGATGCCCCAATGGACGGATGGACACCCAGATGGACAGACGGACACCCAGCTGGATGCGTGGATGCCCCAATGGACGGATGGACACCCAGATGGACAGACGGACACCCAGCTGGATGCGTGGATGCCCCAATGGACGGATGGACACCCAGATGGACAGACGGACACCCAGCTGGATGCGTGGATGCCCCAATGGACGGATGGACACCCAGATGGACAGACGGACACCCAGCTGGATGCGTGGATGCCCCAATGGACGGATGGACACCCAGATGGACAGACGGACACCCAGCTGGATGCGTGGATGCCCCAATGGACGGATGGACACCCAGATGGACAGACGGACACCCAGCTGGATGCGTGGATGCCCCAATGGACGGATGGACACCCAGATGGACAGACGGACACCCAGCTGGATGCGTGGATGCCCCAATGGACGGATGGACACCCAGATGGACAGACGGACACCCAGCTGGATGCGTGGATGCCCCAATGGACGGATGGACACCCAGATGGACAGACGGACACCCAGCTGGATGCGTGGATGCCCCAATGGACGGATGGACACCCAGATGGACAGACGGACACCCAGCTGGATGCGTGGATGCCCCAATGGACGGATGGACACCCAGATGGACAGACGGACACCCAGCTGGATGCGTGGATGCCCCAATGGACGGATGGACACCCAGATGGACAGACGGACACCCAGCTGGATGCGTGGATGCCCCAATGGACGGATGGACACCCAGATGGACAGACGGACACCCAGCTGGATGCGTGGATGCCCCAATGGACGGATGGACACCCAGATGGACAGACGGACACCCAGCTGGATGCGTGGATGCCCCAATGGACGGATGGACACCCAGATGGACAGACGGACACCCAGCTGGATGCGTGGATGCCCCAATGGACGGATGGACACCCAGATGGACAGACGGACACCCAGCTGGATGCGTGGATGCCCCAATGGACGGATGGACACCCAGATGGACAGACGGACACCCAGCTGGATGCGTGGATGCCCCAATGGACGGATGGACACCCAGATGGACAGACGGACACCCAGCTGGATGCGTGGATGCCCCAATGGACGGATGGACACCCAGATGGACAGACGGACACCCAGCTGGATGCGTGGATGCCCCAATGGACGGATGGACACCCAGATGGACAGACGGACACCCAGCTGGATGCGTGGATGCCCCAATGGACGGATGGACACCCAGATGGACAGACGGACACCCAGCTGGATGCGTGGATGCCCCAATGGACGGATGGACACCCAGATGGACAGACGGACACCCAGCTGGATGCGTGGATGCCCCAATGGACGGATGGACACCCAGATGGACAGACGGACACCCAGCTGGATGCGTGGATGCCCCAATGGACGGATGGACACCCAGATGGACAGACGGACACCCAGCTGGATGCGTGGATGCCCCAATGGACGGATGGACACCCAGATGGACAGACGGACACCCAGCTGGATGCGTGGATGCCCCAATGGACGGATGGACACCCAGATGGACAGACGGACACCCAGCTGGATGCGTGGATGCCCCAATGGACGGATGGACACCCAGATGGACAGACGGACACCCAGCTGGATGCGTGGATGCCCCAATGGACGGATGGACACCCAGATGGACAGACGGACACCCAGCTGGATGCGTGGATGCCCCAATGGACGGATGGACACCCAGATGGACAGACGGACACCCAGCTGGATGCGTGGATGCCCCAATGGACGGATGGACACCCAGATGGACAGACGGACACCCAGCTGGATGCGTGGATGCCCCAATGGACGGATGGACACCCAGATGGACAGACGGACACCCAGCTGGATGCGTGGATGCCCCAATGGACGGATGGACACCCAGATGGACAGACGGACACCCAGCTGGATGCGTGGATGCCCCAATGGACGGATGGACACCCAGATGGACAGACGGACACCCAGCTGGATGCGTGGATGCCCCAATGGACGGATGGACACCCAGATGGACAGACGGACACCCAGCTGGATGCGTGGATGCCCCAATGGACGGATGGACACCCAGATGGACAGACGGACACCCAGCTGGATGCGTGGATGCCCCAATGGACGGATGGACACCCAGATGGACAGACGGACACCCAGCTGGATGCGTGGATGCCCCAATGGACGGATGGACACCCAGATGGACAGACGGACACCCAGCTGGATGCGTGGATGCCCCAATGGACGGATGGACACCCAGATGGACAGACGGACACCCAGCTGGATGCGTGGATGCCCCAATGGACGGATGGACACCCAGATGGACAGACGGACACCCAGCTGGATGCGTGGATGCCCCAATGGACGGATGGACACCCAGATGGACAGACGGACACCCAGCTGGATGCGTGGATGCCCCAATGGACGGATGGACACCCAGATGGACAGACGGACACCCAGCTGGATGCGTGGATGCCCCAATGGACGGATGGACACCCAGATGGACAGACGGACACCCAGCTGGATGCGTGGATGCCCCAATGGACGGATGGACACCCAGATGGACAGACGGACACCCAGCTGGATGCGTGGATGCCCCAATGGACGGATGGACACCCAGATGGACAGACGGACACCCAGCTGGATGCGTGGATGCCCCAATGGACGGATGGACACCCAGATGGACAGACGGACACCCAGCTGGATGCGTGGATGCCCCAATGGACGGATGGACACCCAGATGGACAGACGGACACCCAGCTGGATGCGTGGATGCCCCAATGGACGGATGGACACCCAGATGGACAGACGGACACCCAGCTGGATGCGTGGATGCCCCAATGGACGGATGGACACCCAGATGGACAGACGGACACCCAGCTGGATGCGTGGATGCCCCAATGGACGGATGGACACCCAGATGGACAGACGGACACCCAGCTGGATGCGTGGATGCCCCAATGGACGGATGGACACCCAGATGGACAGACGGACACCCAGCTGGATGCGTGGATGCCCCAATGGACGGATGGACACCCAGATGGACAGACGGACACCCAGCTGGATGCGTGGATGCCCCAATGGACGGATGGACACCCAGATGGACAGACGGACACCCAGCTGGATGCGTGGATGCCCCAATGGACGGATGGACACCCAGATGGACAGACGGACACCCAGCTGGATGCGTGGATGCCCCAATGGACGGATGGACACCCAGATGGACAGACGGACACCCAGCTGGATGCGTGGATGCCCCAATGGACGGATGGACACCCAGATGGACAGACGGACACCCAGCTGGATGCGTGGATGCCCCAATGGACGGATGGACACCCAGATGGACAGACGGACACCCAGCTGGATGCGTGGATGCCCCAATGGACGGATGGACACCCAGATGGACAGACGGACACCCAGCTGGATGCGTGGATGCCCCAATGGACGGATGGACACCCAGATGGACAGACGGACACCCAGCTGGATGCGTGGATGCCCCAATGGACGGATGGACACCCAGATGGACAGACGGACACCCAGCTGGATGCGTGGATGCCCCAATGGACGGATGGACACCCAGATGGACAGACGGACACCCAGCTGGATGCGTGGATGCCCCAATGGACGGATGGACACCCAGATGGACAGACGGACACCCAGCTGGATGCGTGGATGCCCCAATGGACGGATGGACACCCAGATGGACAGACGGACACCCAGCTGGATGCGTGGATGCCCCAATGGACGGATGGACACCCAGATGGACAGACGGACACCCAGCTGGATGCGTGGATGCCCCAATGGACGGATGGACACCCAGATGGACAGACGGACACCCAGC